GCCAGCGGCATCTTCGGGCCGCGGCAGGCGTCCGCGCAAACGGCGCCCCTCCAGCCGGGCAGACACGAGCAATTGCCGTACAGTGGATCGCACTTGGCGCCGTTCACGCACGGACAGTCGTTCTGACAACCCGGCCCCCATTTCCCGTCCTGGCAAGCTGGGAAACATCAAAGAAAGAAAGGAAGAAAGGCAAAGAAAAAAAGAAGGAACATTTTATTCGTGGAAATTTTTTTTTTTTTTTTGCGAAGTGTCAGGTATAATTTTTCATCTGCTGGGCAGCGGGGATTGGGTTAGGAAACTTAGAATTGAGTGGGTTTCACTTATTGGGCTCCTTTTTGCTCGTCATGGGGGGGGGGGGGGTTCTCAACGTAATGTGTTCTTAATCGGCGTTAAATTTGCGAGCAAAGAGAAAAAAAGGCAAAAAGGAAAATTGTATTCATGGAAATTTTTTTTCTTTTTGAAGTGTCAGATATCATTTTTCATCTGCTGGGCAGCACGGATTGGGTTAGGGTTGAGTGGGTATCACTCCTCTTTGCTTTGCTTGTTTGTTGTCTTCATTTCAGTAAAAGTAAAGAATAAAAAAAAACGAATCACTGATTTAGTTAACATATATTTTTTTTAATTAGGGGACTGAAATTCCATATAGAAGCCACATTCATCCCCCGGGGGAATTCACTCACGTGGAAAAAAGTCAACGGAATGCCTAAGCTCTCGAATACTAGATATTTTCAAAGCATAACATCCTGAATAAAAACAAAACAAAGATTTGTTTCTTCCTCTTGACAAAAACCATTCCTCAGCTATTTCACTTGCTATATACGACAGTAAATAACAGCCCCAGGTGGTGGAAGTGGTTTGTGACTGCGACAATAAACAAATCGCTTCTTGGGCATGAAAGCATGCGAGGGTTGGTTCATAACTTCTGAGACTTTTTCATATACAGTGAAATCTCGTTACAACAAACCAGTGGGGACTTGAGAAAAAGTTTGTTATAACAGAGAATTTGCTATATTGAGATTTACAAATTTTTTGACTGATGAGAAGATTTTCTGAAAATTAAACCTGCATTCTTTCAACATATTCCTTTTCTGGCTTTTTCAGATATTTCTCAGCATTTTAAAAACCTGATAATTTCAAAAATAAACATATATGCTAATAATATGCAATTAATCAGAATAACAGGTGTACACTAGCACTTTTTGTTGAGTAAGGTTTTTTAAGCAATTCCTGAACAGATTTTTAAGGGTGGATGTTCAAAAAAAGCTTACAATTCTCAAGCATCAGTATTGTTTCTCAGGTATAGAAACTCTTTTTGACATGAGTTTTGTTGGGTTCATTTTTTCCATCCCCCTCCATCTTTCCTAAACCAAGGAAAAAAATTTTAATTGGTGGATTTTCAATAATGTTTTTCATTGATTCCACATCATGTCCCAACAACCAGTCACATTCACATTTTGAATGGAAAATTTGAGACTGTCTGCATTCATTGGGAATTTTTCATCAAGAAATCACATATTCCCAAAAAAAAAGTTTGTTATACTGTACTGGAATTGGTGAGTTTGTTATAAAAATATTTTCATAACATATACCCTAGAGGATTTATTTCTGCTGGGACTTCGAAAAAAAGTGTGTTGCACTGAAAAATTTGTTGTAACAAGTATTTGTTGGAATGAGATTTTCCTGTAGTTCTAACAGAGTTTCAAAAAAAAATTAAATGCATTTTCACGAATAGCCTCATCATTTGGCCACACTTCAGTGCTGTTCAACTTAACTCTCTACTAATTTCAATGTACTGTACAGTATTTTGCCATGGGATAAATCCAATAACCAAAACAGAGCCAAAAATCAAGTTTTGTTATTTGATTAAGCTGCTCTTCAACAGCGGAAATGAGGCTGTCCCTGTCCTCAAAATCAATCCCTTTCCAGTATTTTTTCATGTTTTAAACAGCCACAAGTCACAGGGTGCCTTGTTGCGAAAATATTCCGGACAACAAAAATTATTCGGAATATCTTTAAAACCTGTGGAAGTAGAATTTATGGGAGCTGTGCGAGTAAAAAAAAGGGGGGTTTGCAATTTTTTTAACTCCGCTGGATTTATTTCGAAAAGTGTCAAAACTTGTGAACCAACCCTCGTATATATATACTGTATGCGCAAGTCAAATATTCATAACAAGCGATGCTCATTCATTTTTATTTTTTATTCGCTGCTGTTGAGTTGATCCGAAACAGAGCAAGATTAGTTCTACGGCTCCATGCTTGAAACTGGATCACGTAGTGCGTTTACAGCATGATAAATAGACGTGATGAAGCAAGTCGGAGTGTGTGTGTGTTTTTTTTTTTTTTTTTTTAGCAAAAGGCAGTTACAGTTAGTTATAAGTCTGAAAAAATTATTTTAGTTCCATCACTAAAATGTGACGAGGATTTGTTTTTGGCACACAAAAAAAAAGTTTTACGAAGGATGTTCCGGCTTTTTTGATCATATGAAGATTTATAAAATGCGTGAAAGCATCAAAAGCGTCGCGAAAAGAATCCAAGTTAAAATCTCGTGCCGATTTTTAATTTGAACTTTCAGATCAAGAGACAGTTATACTCACTGGTGTGAAAAATTACTTTAGTTCCACAACTTGCATCACTAAAACGTGACGAAGATTTGTTTTTTGACACACAAAAAACACTATTTCAAGGATGTTCCGGCTTTTTCGAACATATGGAAATTTTTAAAATGTGTGAAAGCATTCAAGAGCGTCGTGAAAAGAATCCAAGTTCAAATCTCGTGCCGATTTTCAATTTGAATTTTCATACTCACTGGTGTGAAAAATTACTTTAGTTCCACGCCTTGCATCACTAAAACGTGACGAAGATTTGTTTTTGACAACAACAACAAACAATATTTCAAGGATGTTCCGGCTTTTTCGAACATATGGAGATTTTTAAAATGCGTGAAAGCATTCAAGAGCGTCGTGAAAAGAATCCAGGTTCAAATCTCGTACCGATTTTCAATTTGGCTTTTTAGACTAAAAAAAAAAAATAAGACAGTAAATATTTACTGGTCGGGGAAAATTGTTCTACAACTTTTTCCTGGCAAAAATTAAATACGTCATTTGAAGAAGGATGTTCCGGCTTTTTCGATCAAATGACGATTTATAAAACGTGCGAAAATCATTCTCGAGTGTCGAGCGAAAAAATCCAAGATAAAATCTCGTTCCGATTTTCGTTAATATATTTTTTTCTTTTTTACCGTAAAGATGGTAAAAGATGGCAATGAGCCTGAGACAGGGGCCAGAGTTTTTACAACCCCACTGATTTTAACCAAATGCAATTGTATCATTCCTCAATCACATATTTTTGGGAAATTGAAAATAAAAAAATTAGGTATAGTATTGGCACAAAATTAAATCTAATTGGCACGTGAAGTGAAATACATTTTCCATTAAGCGAGAACAAGTGGTCCCATGGAGAAAACAAAAAACAAAAAAAGGCGTGGGAAACCAGATTGAACACAACCCGGAATGTGTCCCTTGAGAGTATTCGATGTGAGGGGGGGGGGGGAATTGCGATTCCCTGCTGGCTGTGTCGCAGTCGACACCAACGTCATCATGTCGACAGCGACACCGAAGCGTGTCCAATTTCATGTTTACTCAAGCTTGAATGTTTCTGCGCCAACGACCAGAAACTTTTTTTTCTAATTGAATTTTTTCATTTTTTAAAACATTTTTATATTTTATATACACACGATGGTTCGAAACATTGAATTAAATATCAAGACCCCGGGTCAAGTTTCATCTCGATTTATTCAGAAAATATGACAAAATGGTATTCAAAAACATTCGCACACTTTTTCTTGACACAATATCACGCTCCAAAAATGTTCGATTCTAAAACAAAATCGCGAAAACTACTGAAAATCATTCAAGGAGATTTTTTCCTGTGGTCATATAACCAACAAAATGCCATCAGTCGAGAGCAATTTTCTTCTTAAATAATTTTCGTACCATCACCTTAATAAATTACATCATTCTGATTCAATTTTCAACAAGGTGAACCTAAAGGGAATGTCAAAACGAATACGATATAAACCTAGTAAAGTCAAATCAAATTAGATTAGCTTTTATGACGCTAAAATGATCCAGGCGATATTTTAATGTTTTTTCCCGTAAGATTTTGCAAGGCATACGAGGGAAAAATAAATAAATACAGGGTGAAAATTGATTAAAAGAGTAAAATAAATTATCCCAATTGATAAATGTCATCACGTGCAATTTTTAAAAATTAAGTTCCTCGTGATGAAAATAAGAAAAAGACGAAAATCAAAACAATAAGTAAAATAAATTTTTCTAGCTGATGAATTAACCCACAACTTTCGAAAATCCAGTTCCTTAGTGATGAAAAATATAAAAATAAGCTGCGGCGAAAATCAAAACAAAAAAGTGAAATAAATTATCACAACTGGTGAATTCATACCACAAATAAATTATCCCAACTGAAGAATTTATACCACCCACAGCTTTCAAAAATTAAATTCCTCAGTGATAAAAAATATGAAAAATAAGCTGCGGCGAAAATCAAAACAAAAAGTGAAATAAATTATCCCAGCTGATGAATTTATACCACCCACAATTTTCAAAAATTAAGTTCCTCAGGGATGATAAATATAAAAAAAAGAAGCGGCGGAGAAAATCAAAACAAAAAATAAAGAAATTATCCCAGCTGACGAATTTACACCACCGACAATTTTCAAAAATTACGTTCCCAAGTTATGATAAATATAAAAAAGAAGCTGCGGCGAGAATCAAAGCGAAAAAGTGAAATAATGTATCCCAACTGATGAATTATACCACCCACAGATTTCAAAAATTAAATTCCTCAGTGATAAAAAAAAATATGAAAAAGAAACTGTGGCGAAAATAAAAAGATAAATAAATTATCTCAACTGACGAATTTATACCACCCAAAATTTTAAAAAATCAAGTTCCTTCGTAATACAAAAAAGAAGCTAAAAATCACACGATTTCGGGCCAAAGCCGTGCCTCCAACTCAGAATTATTCCATCGTCCCTCAGATTCCCCCAGAATCTTCCCCGAAAACCCATTATTCTTATTATTCCCTTCCCTCCATCGACCCTTGGCCTGACCCATTTTGGCCCCATCTCTCCGAACCCCTGACCGCACGTCAATCAGACCATAGTTATTACGGGTTCCCAAATCGGGTTTCGCTGGTTTTCTCGTAGACGAATAAAGGGCAGAAGGATCCGTGTCAACAGCAGCGTCGTTTTTGGGCCTCGCAACATCAGCAAGGAAAAATAAATCTCGGGTTCCGTTTTTCCCGGATTCGAGTCCCGAAAATTGGCTACGATTCGCCTCATTCAAGGAATTTTTCTCGGGTTTCGGGTTCTCATCATCATCAGTGGCCCGGGAACCCACGTCAAAGGTCTGCGACGGGTTCCGTTTTTCCCGGATTCGAGTCCCGAAAATTGGCTACGATTCGCCTCATTCAAGGAATTTTTCTCGGGTTTCGGGTTCTCATCATCATCAGTGGCCCGGGAACCCACGTCAAAGGTCTGCAACTTATTCGTGATCACGTTCGTTAGGCTCGCGAAAAGGGGTTTCCGGGTTCCATTTCTCAAGCGGACCTGGTTATTTTCCATCAATGCACGGGGTTTCCCGGGTTCCCCAGTCCCCGATAAATTCGAAGAAGCAACAACATTGAAGACTTTAAACTTGGTAGAAGACGGTTTCCTCGACGCATCGCAGGTTCTTTTCGCGACATCAACGACGAAAAGAGGAGGTTGCTCCCGGGTTTCATTTCGCAACCGAACCCGGGAATTTCCCGAATCGGGTTTAATCGGAGAAACCACATCAAAAATATGAAACTTGGTGGTGGTGGTGGTGGTGATTTCATCGGAACCCCGGGAAAATTCTTTCCGGGTTCCATCATTTCCGGAACCCACTTTTCCATCGTCAATCACAGTGTTACCAGAATTTTCGCACATGGATGAATCACAGTCGTTTTTCGAATCAAACCGAATGGCGAAATTGTCTCCGTGATAATTCTCGACGATTCTTCTCCTTATCGGCGTCGACACGTTGCCGCGTTTTCGGAAAAGAGTCGAAAAAATGTCGATGGTGACATTGACGTTAATCCCTGTCAGGGTTTTCTCGGAATGATCGTCATCGTCGACAATGTCAAGATTTCCCAGGACGCGGAAGTCATTTCGATCCGACGACGAGTTCGATGCTATCAGACAATAGACGGGTTTCGGGAAGAAACAAGAAAAAGAAGGACGCCGTTTGTTGAGAAAATTAGGTTGAAGGAGGCTTTTGTCTCGGTTCTTACTGGTCCATTGTTTTAACCTGGTCATTTCGTGGGAGAGACCGTGATGAAATACAGTTTTTTTTTTTTTTCGAGGTGACATCAGGAAAAGAAGTTAATGAGACAGAATGCGAATCTTCAAAATGAAACGAAATTTCTGCTATCTTGAGGTTTCAACTAAATTCACAATTTATTTACCACCTAAGCAATTTTCAAATTAAAAAAAAATGCACAGAACATCATCATAGGAGTAAATTTTTGTCTTGCCTCTCAAGTCAATGCAGGAGTTTATACAAAAAGAAAAACAAATTTTTGGTGATACAGGAAACCTTATATAGGTGATACTTATATGATTTCTCATCAAAGACTCTATCCAAATTGTTTAATCAACTAAACTTTATCTGGGAGCAGGTTAAACACCTTGTGCTTTAGTTTGGGTTTAATAATTGCGTTATGCTGTGAATTTGTCTTGTGAATTCTCTCAAGGTGATGCAGAAATGTATACAAAAAGAAAAAAATGTTGGTGATATAGGATACCTCATATGGGTGATATTTATATGATTTCTCATCAAAGACTCTCCAAAATGTTTAATCAACTTAACTTTATCTGGGAGAAGGTTGAACACCTTGTGCTTTAGTTTGGGTTTAGTAATTACTTCATGCTGTAAAATTGTCTTGTGAATTCTCAAGGTAATGCAGAAATGTATACAAAAAGAAAAATAAATATTGTGTGGTACAGGATACCTTACATAGGTGATACCTATAAAATTTCTCATCAAAGATTCTCTCCAAATTGTTTAATTAACTAAATCTCATCTGGGAGCAGGTTGAACACCTTGTGCTTTAGTTTGGGTTTAGTACTTGCATTATGCTTTGGATTTGTCTTGTGAATTCTCTCAAGGAATAGCAGAAATGTATACAAAAAAGAGAAATAAATTTTGGGTGCTTCAGTATACCTCATATAGGTGATACCTATTTGATTTCTCATCAAAGATTATCTCTAAACTTTACAATCAACTAAACCTTCTCTGGGAGCAGGTTGAACACCTTGTGCTTCAGTTTGGGTTTAGTAATTTGTGTTATGCTGTGAATTTGTCTTGTAAATTCTTTCAAGGAATAGCAGAAATGTATGCAAAAAGAGAAATAAATTTTGGGTGCTTCAAGATACCTTATATAGGTGACACCTATATGATTTCTCATCAAAGATTCCCTCCAAATGGTTTTATCAACTAAACCTTATCTGGGAGCAGGTTGAACACCTTTTGCTTTAGTTTGGGTTTAGTAATTACTGTATGCTGTAAAATTTTCTTGTGAATTCTCTCAAGGAATAGCAGAAATGTATACAAAAAGAGAAATAAATTTTGGGTGCTTCAGGATACCTTATATGGGTGATACCTACAAACACAATTTTATCCTGACCTAAACCCAAGATGTCAAAACAATTATCACATTAATACAGCTACAGTACATAATTTAACAGAACAAAACCAAGCATAACTGGACTGTACAAGCTTCAAGCGACATCTACAAAGGAGAAAAATAGAACCGCCGATTCGGGACACGTGACGATTGAACAACGGAGAACCTCACCAATGTACCATAATAAATTTCTTAAGATTATTTTTAAATGACGAAGTTCGAATTTCGAAAGAAAATCGGCAGGTTTTCCCTGAGATCAGAGAAAATTTCGAAAGCTGAACTAAATAACTTTCAAAAAGTGTATGAACAACAAGGTTTTCTCAACTCGAGGAACTCTTTCAAAGCTTTCGGCTCAGCGAAAAAAAAAAAACGCATTACACAACGTCCTTCACGCTTTTTCTCAGCGTTCACTCATTTTCTCTTGTAAAATCCTCGAGTTCAGCAGAACCGGAAAAAAAACTTCGAATGGAAAGACAGAAAAAAAAACATGAGATTGGGTAATTTGAAAGGAAGGAATTTCGCACTCGACCTCGAACGAACAAAGAGGCAGTTGAGAGAAAGCACGATTTCATTTTTTTCTTCCGGTTTTAACCAAAGGATTTGCAAGGAACTTCCACAGAAAAAAACAAGAATACCCGAAATAAATGTCACTGGTCTTCCGAGAATTGTATTTTTCAAAGACAAATTTGCAAGAATTTTCTCTTATTTCGAAATTCACTCAAAATTAAACGCTTTCAGCTATATTTGAAATCTTAAAAAAAAAGAAACGAAAAAAATCATTTAAGGGAGAATTTTCATTTTATGGCGAGCAAAAAAAAAAGCAACGCACAGGAATTCGACTATTCTAACCTTTTTAGGACTTAAAATACGTTATAAAATGTAGCAAAACTTTGCATCAACGTAAAAAAAAATTTCAAATTTAAGATTTAAAGCTCGGTTTCAACACAATGAATGCAAGAAAATGTTGGAAACTGAAGAATTTAAAGAAAATTCCGGCACTACAGTATTTACTTCTTCAATCAAGATATGTTTCACCCGTATGATTTCAGCTTATGTTTAATTTTCAAAGAAATGAGAAGAAAACATTCTCAACTTGTCATTCCGAATTTCCAAAAAAATTCTACAAAAACAATTTAAAAGAAGACACTTATTACTTTTTGCTGAATATTGAACAGACCCCCAAGAAATTATCACCGAATTTTAAATAAATAAAAGCACAAAATCCAATAACTTGGTCATCACAGAGCGATTTCGACATCAAACACTGTTCCTCCCAATTGAAAAGTTATTTATCGTGATAAATGAACAAAAAATTCCATCGAGAAATCAGAGATTCCCTCAACAACATCCGAGACATAAACACCAGCACCCCAACAGTGCGTCCGTAACATGTGATGTGGACGGACTCGAAAGTTTAAAAAAATAAAAAAATACATGAATAAAATAAAATAAACACGTGAAAAACAGGATGACTGAACACGTGGCTTCTAAACAACTCCCTCCATCTCCCCAACAAATTTTCTCACAGTTGCAAAAAAGAAAAACACGTCCATCAAAGTCCGAGAGAGGAAAAAAAATCGCAGGGGAAAAATAAATGCACAGTATAAAAATGCTGAGGCATCTCGCTGAGAAAATGCAAGGGGGGAAAAAAGGCAAAAAACCTCGAAACCCAATTTCTCGTCTTGTTTTTTTTTCTTTCTCTTCTTTCTCGGATCTTTCAGACAAACAAGATTACTCGTCTATACATTATGCAATCACCAATTCGATGCGCAAAGAAATCTTGCCAAAGCAGGGGAGAAAAACATCAAACAATGCCGCAGATCAGGAAAAACAGAAGAAAGCCCCGAGTCATTCGTAAGTTTTATTTGTTCAACGAATTTGAACAGCGTCATTTCCAACTATTTTCGAAAAAAATAGCAGAACTTCAACTTTCTTGTGCGATTTCCGCATTTTAGTACATACTCTATTGTTTAGAAAATTTATAAATATTTTTTGCAACGTCTGTAGGCTCAACTGCAGATTTTCTTTTCAGCCACTTCCGAAGAAGAAAAAAAGGAAGGAAAAATCCGAGTTCCGAGAAAAATTTCCGTCAAATTTCAGGTAGAATATAATTTCAATAAAGCTGCTTTTTAAGAACAAAATTTGAAGTTCTCCCGAATACATAATACATTGCAAAGGATTCAAATCATCTTCCGAATGGTTGAAAATTATTTCAAAGCAACCAATAATTTACGAAAGGAAGCGAAATTTATATTTTCAGCATCAATGTCAAAAGATTACTCACGATTTCTCGTCTAATTAATGCGCTTGATTAGATTATAAATTCACAAGAATTCGTAAAAGCCGTAATCGTGAAAATGCAAAATTATTCACCGAACCTTCTTCAGCGCGAAAAAAATTCATTTTTTCACGGACTTGAATGAAAAATTTTTAGGTACTGTTCCATCTTCAGAATTTATGGCTCAAGAGTTCACGACTAACGAATAAACAGCAATTAATTGCAATTCAACTCGGTCAGCTAATTGCGGTTCTCAGACAATGGGTCCATAAATTAATCAAGAAAACGCAGCCAGAATTCATCTCATTAGTGAACACAACTTTTTTCTGAATTAAAAAAAACATGCAACAAATATTTTAGGTGGGTTTGGTAAGTGAAGTACAGTGAGACCCTGAGATGAGGACGTAATTGGTGCATCAAGAGTGTCCCTAAGTCGAAATGTCACCAAGTCAAGTCTCATTTTCCCTTAGATTTACATTATATAATTTTTAATTTGTGTTTTATGTTTAATTTTTTTATTGTTTTTTTTTTTAATTTGTGTTTTATGGACAAAATACTCAACATAATTCCATGAAAATAAAAATTGTCTCCCAATTCAAACTGATTCAATCAATATATTTCAACACAATATGGACATTTGGGGAATTGAATACTGATAGCTCTGTACAGTACATAGAAATGTTGGTATTCTCTGTAAAAATAACATTCAAGTGAAAAAGAGAGAAGGAAGTCCCTCTATGCTGAAGATAATTTTTTAAATTAGCTAAATGGATGGTCAATTGGTGAGAGAAATTCCAAAGAACTTTTCTTACATAAATTTTAGGGCTGGAAATATCTGCTTCTTGTAATTTGGCCTGAAATGTATTTGCAATTTTATCGCAAAATGCAACTAAATTGAGTTAGTGTCCTGATGTCAGGCCTTTTTATTATTTTTTCTTTATGGGAAAATAAGTGCCCCTACGTCGAATTGTCCACATGTCGATGTGTCCGCATGTGGGGGCCTCACTGTAGTTTTGGTATCATCTTACAGTGGTTCAAATGTAGGCTTGACCCGCATTGGCTCAAAATAAACCGGCATAAAAAACCATACCAGCATCGTATCATTTTTTTCAAGATTTAAAAAAAAACGCGCAGTTTGGAAGCATGCAATGTTTTCGTTTGAATCCATTTCAATTGCCTAAGAAAATATTGCAATTCTTTTGCTGTTTCCAACAGATGTAAACTTCAAAGGAGGCGAAATTAGTAGCAGAAAAAATACGTTCCCGAAAGCCATCAAGAAACACCTAAATTCTCATTCCAACAGCCCTGTTCTGGAGTAGATTTTTGAAAAAAAAAACCAGGTGAAAATGTACAGGGAAGTCCAGATACAATTCGGACCACTTTGAAAATAATTCGTTTTACAACTTCAAAAAAATATTTTTAACTTGGATTAATTTTCCAACAAGGCATTTACTATTTCCTGCGGTCAAAAAATTACAAGATTTCAATATTTGAAACGCCAAGTTTATAGAAGAATAAAAATAATTTTTATTTTAGTCTCACTTCATCCTGTACAAATATATAAACTGTAAATTAATTTTTTTTATAATTTATTCACGGCGTTTTTTTTAGATAGTCGCGGAAATCAAGAAGCAATAGTTGAAAAAAAAGGAAACAAAATTCAAAAGCAATTTTGTTGCAACTTTCGTTTTAGTCTCGCTCGCATCTGATACATGGAAATGATAATTATTTTTCATTTGTGTTGAGCTTTTTTCACAATGTTCAACAGCTATATGGTAATCATAACGTATGGTCTGAAAATACAGGTGAACTCTCTACAACGATTTTATCTGTATAACGAACTTGTTTTCGGTCCCATTGGCATAGAGTTTTCTATAACGAAATTCTTTCTACCACTAATTTTTCTCTGGTCTCTTGTTTCAAATAGGTTTTGCGTGGATAATTTATGTTCGGAGAGGTGTTTTCAAATTTTCTGGGCAACACAAAATACCACCATTCATCTTCACATTTTTCTTCTTTTGCTTCATGAATGTATTTCGTTTTTTAAATATTTTTATTATTTTTTGGTTGGTAGTTGATAAAATTAAGTATTGTTTTTTCGGCCAACCCGATGATTCGTGTGTGGAGTAGGTCATAACGGGAAGAAAAATGTACTGTACAATACTCACAAATGCTGCACGTGGGCCCGCCGAACCCGGGCAAGCATTTGCACTTCTCCGGGGATTCGCACACGCCGTGGATGCAGTCGTTGGAGCAGATGGGAATGCAGCTTTCCCCGTCAGCAGCTTCCGCGTAACCCTTGCAGCAAACACTCACTGTTCTGGTTTTCTTCACAGCCTTTAATAATAAAAAAATACATATATACATATATATATATAATAAAACATGAAACGAAAAACAAACTACAAGTTATATAATCGAATTTGCTGGAACAGGATGACGAGAGGCGTTTTCAGGAGTTTCTTTTTGGTTCTCTCTCAGTTCTGTGCTCTTTCATTGGTTGAATTCATTTTGAGAGATTGAACATGCTGTTGGACATGCATGTTGGGAATAAATCCCGACAAAGGAAAGATTTGAAATTATAATGAAAGTTTGAAAGTTGGAATTTGAAATGAAACACAAGAATTCAGTTGGGCTACAACCGGGGTGCAAAACACCCTCTTTTAAAGTTGTTATAATTTGCAATTCACAAAAAACTCGCAAAATCTTGTAGAACGTTCTCTCGCGAAGGTTTGATTTGGACTGTGTCAAAATAGTCAAACTTGGAAAACAGGAAAACTGTCCTTCAAGGACAAAAAACAGCAAACAGGAACTTGGTAATAGAATACAGCCTTGGAGGCTGCCAAAAACATCTGTAATAAATTACAGCCTTGGAGGCTGCTGACCATCTGTGGGAACCAAGGTCTTCCAAGATTCCCACACAGATAGAATGAAAGACTAAATTTGCTGGGGAATTCGGGTTCTCTAAAGCTAGCGTATTGAATTTAATATACCCGTTGAAATATTTGCAACAATGCATGCCGGGTAAAGTAGTGTACCTAATTCTTAGAAGTAACAGTATCCCCCCCTTTTCAAAATTGCAGTGCCGCAGCATACTCCATGTTCGCTTTCTTGCTTTGATTATAAAAGTAAAACCTTGTGAAGGTTAATTATAATTAGTAGTGTATAAGCTGCTCCTTCTTCATGTTGTCATTAATATAGTAGATTAAAAAATTAATCTAAAAAACCACGTTTTCAAAAAGCAAAAAAAGAATAATTTTTTTCCAGCTCGATTAGACGCCATCTTCATTTTCATTCCGAGAACTTTTGTTAGAACCCTCGTATAATCGAATTTGCTGGAACAGATTGACGAGAGGCGTTTTCAGGAGTTTCTTTTTGGTTCTCTCTCAGTTCTGTGCTCTTTCATTGTTTGAATTCATTTTGAGAGATTGAACATGCTGTTGGACATGAACGCCGGGTAAAGTAGTGTACCTAATTCTTAGAAGTAACAGTATCCCCCCCTTTTCAAAATTGCAGTGCCCGCAGCATACTCCATGTTGATTATAAAAGTAAAACCTTGTGAAGGTTAATTATAATTAGTAGGGTATAAGCTGCTCCTTCTTCATGTTGTCATTAGAATCAGATCTGTTGAGCTGTGTTATTCCAATTATTGAAGTTGAGTTGCTTATTCACCGCTTATTCCTTGAAATATACTTTAGTCTTCTAACTAGGAATTCTTAAACGGAATCCCAAGTAACGTGTTTTATTGCTTAATCTTAATAGCACTTGACATCAAATTATATTGAGGCACATTTGTCCCCAATAAATGCAATTGAAAGAGTAATGAAAATTCATCTTGGATGAAAAAACAAACATGATCTTTAAGAAAATATTTTCTAATCACAGTTTCAGCATTTTGACAAAATGCTAAATGATTATGTCCCAAGGAAATTCCCGAAACAAAATTTGTATTTTTTTAAATCTTTGCTTGTTCACATTTCATTTGAAATATGACCATTTTTTAACAATGGATATGTATGTTTTTTTCTGAGTACTGAGGGATTCAAAACCCAGGACATTCACAAAATCAAAACATGATTCAGAAAACTTCTTTGAACTTTCACCGAAATTACTGGCAAGATTATGAAATACAGTAAAGTTATTACTTCACAGAAATTTGACAAGACAGATTTGTAAAAAAACGCGAAGATATTAATTACCTTTTCTTGTTCATATTTCATTTGAAATGTGACCATTTCTCAAGGATGGAATTTTTTTTCCGAGTGCTGAGTGATTAAAAAACCAAGACATTCACAAAATCAAAACATGATTCAGTAAATTGCTTTGAATGATCACCAAAATTACTTGCAAGATTATGAAATACAAAAAAAGTTATTACTTCACAGAAATTTGACAAGACAGATTTATAAAAAAAAACGCACCAGCTCTACTTTGTCCATCTCATGACCGGTGTCCAAAAAATTCTGCACATAATTTACTCGTCAGCCAATCCTCGTAAACTCATTCGCATCAAAATTTCATTAAACAAAAAGATTGAATTATAAAACCCAGATCGCCAAAGACTTGAAAACAAAATTTATTAGATACAAACCCGTCGATTATTTGATAAACTTGTCGCGGTGAAATCCGCGCATTACAAAAGACAAATCAGATAAATTACGATCCCCGCGCAGACTCGGATCTTCTCGTCGCATCTTCACGCAAAAAAAAAAAAAAAAATGCAGAAATTCTTTACATTTGACCTCATTATCCCAAATATTTTTTTTTCTCGTCCTTCGGCAGAAGAACCAGTTAAAAGGGGGGAAACCGTTGTCATTATTCAAGCTCCAGCATAGCGAAAAGCAAGTTACACGTGCTTCAGTTGGTCTCTTGTTTCCCCCACCATAGTTTTCTACTTCAAGATAAGCTAGACTACTTCGAGATAAGGTTTATCTGTGCTCACGTATCTTGTTAACGCATTCAGGCGACTTTGACACAGAGAAAAAGCTGCTCTCCTTCATGCCTTTTCTCTTCTTTTTTTCTTTTTTTTTTTGCAAACCGCCAGATTATTAAAAAAATATATACCGTATTCTGAAATTCACAGAAAATTCCAACAAAACGCTGAATAGACGAATAATTTTGCATTCAAAAGACCACAAGCGCCACAATTTTCAAAGGACGAAATTTTGTCGAAATGAACGCCTGAAAATGATATGAACTGCAAATTAAAACCAACGCTGAAATTTTTACCCACGTAAAACAGAAATCAGTAAATTGCTTAGAATGATCACCAAAAAACTTGCAAGATTATGAAATGAAGTTATTAATTTAACAGAAATTTTAACGAGACATATTTGCAACAAGAAAAACAACAAAATTTGTGCGAAAATTAACAGAACTTTAATTTTACTCGGAAAAAATCGCGACAAAATAAAATTTTTTTGTGGAAAATCTCAAGAAATACTTCGCATAAATGAATGGGAAAAGTCAGAGGACACATAATCTATACTTCAATAGGACACACGGGGAATAAAATTTCAGGTATTATATTGGCTAAAAAGCGGTAAAATCTCGAAACACAGTTGGGATATTGAATGGTGTACTTATGTATAGTACATTGAAATGTTGGCATCTGTAAAAATAACATTCAAGTCACAAAGAGAGTATGAAGTCTCTTTATGCTATGGGCATTTTTTTCAATTAGCTGAATGATTGGGAAAATGGTGGGAGAAAAAATTTCTTGCGTAGATCTTTGGTTTAGAAATATCTGTTTCTCGCAATTAAGGCTAGTAAATTCAATTTTCCTGAAACTTATTGGCAATTTTATTATGCAATGTACGCATGTTGAGTCATTGTCCATATGCCGGGCCTTTTTTATTGAAAAATAAATGTGCCTACGTCAAATTGTCCACATGTTGAGGTGTCCGCATATGAGGGTCTCACCATGTATTGTAAATCTCCAGATAGTCTAGGTCAAAATGTCAGGTTCATTTTCTGCTGATAGCAGGTACAAACACACACCTGACCTTATCTGTATGCATGATGTACCAACACCAAATAGAAGACTGTATCTTGTGTTTCTCTGAAATATTGACAGCACCAAAAAACTGAATTCAATGCTGCACAATAAATCTGAAATAATTATTGCATTTTCAGAAAATATTTGACTTACGGAAATAGCATTGCTCAAAAAGCACAAAGCTGACTTTTGTGGTTTGATGACTGCCATTATCATAATTATCATCACATTTCTCATATTGACAATTTTGGAAGTTTTCACAAAATTTGCACAACAGCACACTTCATTTTATTTCTTTCCTGGTAGTTTATTGACATTGACTAATTTTTAGTTATTGAGAAAGTAACACCCACTTCATAAAGCTACTGTATATAAATTTCATTTTGACAAACATTTCAAAAATTTCAAAAAATATATATGCAGTACATACCAATACAGTTACTTTGTAAAAAAAAGAGATACTTAAAATTACTTTCACAAGATATCCAAAACAAATTTCAATGCATGCCATCAACATTATGCAGGATAAGTTCCCACATTCTAGAAAAATGTTTAAAATTTAAAAAACAAATTTCAGCCACAGCCTGATTTTTTCAACAAATAAAAGAGTGGAGAATTAGAAGAAGCTTTCAAACAACTAATACAGTACACAAAATCTTGGGAAGTGTTGAGTAATGTGTTTAGAAAATTCCACATTAGAGCATGACATTATTACAGTATACCGGTATATTTTTTCTAATTTTTGCAATTAAGCAGGCAAAATAGAGTAATGTATTAGTTAAGACTATGCTACAGTTTACACTTGGATTTACTCAGTTCAGGTAAAATAGACAGTCCTATATTAGCAAAATGGAAAATTGCTTTTCCCCTTTAGTAGTCTTTGGAGCTGTTGCAGAGAAAATTAGAGAGGGAACTGATGAAGGTTTCCTTTTGATGATGCGGGACATTGAGCTCGTGATGCTCGTTTTGACTGGTGTCGTCGTGACTTGCTTTCTCATTGGCGAAACTTCGGCGGAATTGAAGGGGGCCAACGTGTGCACGAAGCAGGAAACGTGAGTCTGTTTTTTTATTTTTTATTTTCATTTTTTTTGGTCGGTGTAATCAAGTATGATCCTCGAAAAGCGGTCACACCAAAATAAGAGGGTTCTATCAACAGTTCTCGGAATAGAAATTAAAAATGGCGTACATATTCTTTGGCACAAAAAAAAATCAGCCCTGTTGGAAAAAAATTTTGGAATGTTTTGCAAAATTCACCCTGGCAGAGGTTTGCTCTCCACTCAAAAGATGAGGTGCCCTTCCTGCATTTTTTTTTTAGCCCAGCTTTTCCTTCAGAATTCTCGAAATAAACGTGGTATTAATTCCAAGCGTTGTCTTCCAAGGTAATTCCGCCATTTCCATCAATAGCCGCCAATTTCAAGAATTAAAAAAACAATTAAAATTGGCAGAGAGTAAGTTGCACAGTGTTACCAAATGACGGCCGGGCTATGCGAGGTAAAATTTTCTTTGGGGTTTTTGAAACTCCATTGTATCTGTGTCAAAAAGTCTCAGAATTTATTATACAACCCAGAATTTATTATATTGCATGGACGATTCGACTTAGGTAAAATCGAGCTTTAAAAAATCTGGCCCGACATCCGGACAATAACCCGACTTACGGACATTTCCCCAAAATTTCTCGGGATAAGTTTATGTATATTTTTTCTACATTTTTAGATGTTTTGAAAAAATTNTGGGAAGAAGTGAAATACAAATGAAATAGATGCGCACCACGTTTAAGGTTATTTTTTTCTTTTTCAAAACGTGGTTTTTTAGATTAATTTTTTAATCTACTAAATTTTTTTCAATTTTTGGTCAATCAGAGGCCAGGGAACATGCAAGAATGTTCTGGAATTTCCTGGTAAGTTAACCTGACCAGACAAAAAATATATATATAAAAGCTCTAATTCATTCAAATTTATAAGCAGTCTGTACTGGACTCTTGGAAGGACAATCTTCTCCTTCACTTTTTCCTGATTTGTGCACAAATCTGTGATCCTTATTTATGCTGTGATCTGATCTTGTGATTCAATTACTGTATGTTGTGTGGATTGATTGTGTTCATTCTCTTGAATTCTTGATCTTATTTGACTCTACTGAAAAAGTTCAATAAAATATATTAAAACTAGGAACATATATTTAAGGCACTCCCTTGAATATGTGTTCTTGGCCTTAAAAGGCTGATTGCCTGTGTTTTTATTTATTTCTTTTGTGATCCTTGATCACAGGAGCCAAGAAATAGCCCAAAGAAAAAGGAGTTTCTCGGTTTCAACAAAGCAAAACTATCCCATTACATGGGTCAATGGTGGAACATGAGAACAAGGAAGATGAGGGGAGTAAAAGAAAAGAAAAGATAAAAACTTTCTCCTTTATGAATAACAAAAGCTCTTTTCTTCTTCCATGGTGTTGTTCAAAAAAAAAGTATGGTAGTCAAACTCAAGATGAGAGAATTTGACTTTGGATGAACAGGACAAATGGTGAACTAAAAAATTAAAATTTGAAACATTTCTTGGAAGATTCGAAAGATTAACATCTCTCACTCAAGGTTAGCGTCTGACAGAATTTTAATAAGTTTTCGCTTATTGAAAATAAATATTTGACAATTTGCTCTAAACTTCAGCTCTCTACTTTGACTCGCAATTTTTTTCCTCGTTAGTTTTAATTTGGTTCAGGTTCCAAACAAGGAAAATTTCAACAACAAAAATTCCTTCGGTCCAAAAGACGCTAATTTCTTCTTGTAATTAAACAAAAAGAGAGAAAAGGCCAGGATGCAAAAAACAATTCTAACAATGGAAAATGCAGTGAGTAAAAAATTCTGTGATTTCCTTGAATATTTTATCCGTTGTGGGATTACGTAATTTGATGCAAACTCGAAAAAATTAATTGACGTCGTTTTTATAAATAATCCCAGATCAGAGGAATATATTTTGAAGCAAAAGAAAGAAGAGAAAAAGTTTATGGAATATAGTACATTATAGCAACCTATTCCTTTCTTCGTCCTTTTCCATCCTTCATTTTATTCTTTCTTCGCATGCATTTTTCATGAAAAAATTTTCTCCCATACAATTTTCAAATAAATTGCTTTTTCTCCGTGAAATTGACTTCCTCCGGCTTTTCCTCATATAGCGCCTTTAAACGCGTTTTGTTTCTGAGAAAAATGAGGAAGGAAAAATAATCGAACTTCGGTTTTTAAATTTGCATGCATCAACGCGCAAATTTGTATTCACTCAACTCAATTTTTTTCCAACAATATTACGAAAACCAAGGTCTTACGAAATAGTCAACGAGTTACTTTGACTTGATCCACACAAAAAAAGAGAATATTTTACAAGGTGTTTCTGCTTCAATTCAGAATAGCAGCAGATCCTTATACGCGAGGGTTGGTTCATAAGTTTTGAGACTTTTCGAAATCCATCCAACAGAGTTTAAACGATTCAAAAAATATTTTACTTCCATGGCTTCATCATTTGGCAACACTTCATTGCTGAACAAAATAATCTCTGCCAATTTTAATGATCTTTTCATGCAATGAATCCAACGATCGAAACAGTGCCATAAAATCGAGTTCTGTTCGTTGATTGGTGACTTTTAACTGTTCCCAACAATGAAACACATTTTTTTTTAAAGAGATTGATATTGAGAACACTGACAGCCTCATTTTCGCCGTCAAAAAAGGCACAACTGAACTCAATTGTTGCCACTAATTTCATCGTCGGATTTATCAAATGAAAAATAATAATAATTCGTTGAAATCGGCGAATGGTATGTTTAACAGCCCCCCCAATTACGTAATCCCACAACGGATAAAATATTCAAGGAAATCACAGAATTTTTTACTCACTGCATTTTCCATTGTTAGAATTGTTTTTTGCATCCTGGCCTTTTGGAATTTCGGAAACTCCGTGTTGGATGTGTTTCAAGACGTCTCAAAACTTATGAACCAACCCTCGTACATTAAACTTTCGATAAAAGACACTCATTTTTCCGCATTCAATTTTGCAAAAATTTAAAAGAAAAAGGTCTCACCTCATTCCGGTAGCCGATTTTGTAGGCGATCTTGTACTTGGTGCACCTCGGAGGTACTGCAAGGCACCAAGTATGCGTGCGGACTTGGTACGGTTTGTGGTAACTGACCTTCACAGTGTCCACATAACTGCCAATTAAAGAAAAATAAAATAAAAAATTCAAGAGCACTTCATTAAGTGATCATTATTGCGAAACATAAGTGTGATTATCGCGTCATTATGACGCCAAGAAATATATTCTCATCAGCAGTCTGCTGGGTCTGAATCGCATTTTTCAAGATTCATTAAAACTTTCAAACTTGTAAAAATTTCGAGACATTTTTCTGAGGCGTAGCTTCGCCGTGATTTATCAATGAGATTTTTTTTACAGATTCTTGTGTTTCTATGCTAAGCCGTGGGTGAGACAGAATAATCTTCCGAATCTTCCAAGAAATGCTTAAAATTTCAATTTTTTAGTTTACACTTTATCCCAAGTCAGAAATTCCTCAAAGCAAAGGCAACTCAGGCGTTCCTTTATTTGTAAGAATAATTTAATAAGATTTTTCCTTTTCTAAATCGTCCATTGTTCCAATTGCAAATCATATTTTTTTAAAATTTGTACTGTAGTAAAATTGAGTCGCGAGATTTTTACAGATTCTTGTGTTTCGATACCTTTCAACTTTACACGAAAATTCGCCATCGAGTTCGGTTTTTTTTCTCGTTCAATTACTCCATTCAATGGCGATTTTACGAGAATAAAATGTTCGAGGACTCTGACCTGAAACAGACTCACAATAGTTAACATGTGACAAGATAAATGTATCAAAAGAGCGAAGAATAAAACGAAAAAAATGACACAAAAGAACACAAAAGAACATTGATCGAAGGAGTAATTCAGAATCAAAACAGATAGTAAAAAAACGAATAATTCCAATTTCCGAAAATATATATTTTTATATTTGCTGCTTTCTTCACGAGCTGTTTTAGTACGCAATTATTTTCTTTTTAAATCTCAGAATAATTATATTGAAACGAAAATAAAAAATTAAATTTAAAAAAGGAGCGAAACATAAGAAGAAAAAAAATTGACGAGAAGGGAACGCGGAAATTTCCACAAGACAAAGTCAAGTAAGAAATTTTACGGAAATCTCATTTTACAATAAGAACATTGGACTCGTACGTGCATTAAAAGTCGATTCTTCGTTGTGTCTCATTTAAATTCCCAGCAGCTAGCAAAAAATTGCTCCTGCGGAAACGTCCTTCAAATGGCCTCGTCACTGACGAGAATAATTCATTTCAATTTTGCTTCAATCTCCGTATAATGCCCATTTATGATATAACTACCTCGGGATCGAATAAAATTGTTTTGCGTGAGAATTCGCTTTTGTGCACAAAAAATTTATCCCCCGATTTTGCGGAAGTCTCGTTGAATGCATTTGTTATAAAGAAAAATTCCTCACAACGTGAATTTATGTTTATTTTTCCGCTGTTCGTCAGCTGACTTCGCTGATTAATAACTGGACCTACATTTCTTACACTAAAAAAATCAAGTTATTTCTGCGCGAAAAAAACATATTGATAACTAGGAATATTTTAAAGAAGAAAATAATTATAGGGGTAGGCAATCTTCAGGAAAAATATCCTCGGAAAAAATCCAATACAAGCCCGCTATTTTACCAACTCAAAATATCCTGTTTACTGAAGTTCATTTCATTTTCCTCGTGAAAATGGGGTTTCATCCTCTTGAATATTACATAATTTTAATAACATAACTAATTACTACTGAGTTAAGAAAGATACGAAATCCTGAGGGGGTCGAAGATCTTCAATCTTCGCATACTGCAGGTGCTATTCGATGGGTTTCTTTTCCCTTGATTGATTTTAGTTCTCAGATTATTTTCCGTGATTAACAGTATTTAACAAGGCGAACTAATCACATCTTCATATCCAAAAAAATTTAATAACTCAAGCAAGAAAGGCTGAAACTTTTACGAGTTTATTTAAAACCCCTCGCGTTCCACCGAATCAGCCACGTCATGAATAATGCATCGAAAACGGATTTTGAATGCAAATTTCTGGAAAAGTAGGCGAAGTATAACGAGTACAGGGTCACACACAAAAAATGGACTTCTTTAAAAAAAA